CATTTTTTGTGCAGCCGCTCGCCTTCCTCCTCGCTGGTGGCCAGGCTGCCTTCGGGGGACTCTGGGCACATGTTTTCCTCCTTCATCTTCTTGGGACGTTGCAAGTGAAGGGCTCTGGGGGGTCTCAGGGGATGTGGCGGCCGTGGCACATCAGTGGGGTGACCCCAAGAGCACCCAGCACCCACTCGAGGGGCGCAGCTTGGAGCATCCAAACCTTCAGCCTCCCTGAGCTGCCCCGGCCCCGCTGAGCCCTCCAAGGAGCTGGGTTGGTTTTTCCTTTGGGCTACAGAGAGGAGGGCGCTCGGATAACGTTGGGGAATGGCTTTCGCTGATAGGGTGAAAGGGAGTGTGGGCGGACCAGGCGCAGACCAATGCAAGGTAACGCAAACATCGGTGCAGATTATGGGTTCCAGATTTCCTCTCCCCTCCTCCATCGACACCCCCAAGCCCTCCGGCACAGATGCTCCTGCCTGCCCGGATGGCGAAGAGCATTGCCTATGCTCATGTGAGCACCAGCCATGGGCTTCGGAGGAGCCTGTTTTGATTTTTTCATCTTTTTTTTTTTTTAAAAAGAATTTTATTAAGCCCAGTTGACCCTGCAAAAACCAGCCAGAAATATTCACTCTTTGAGTTTGGAACAGGAGGTTTTTATCTGCGAGAGCTTGAAGTGGAAATGTGGAGCGATGGATGCTTCGGTGGGCAGTACAGTACTGAATCCAAAGGAGGAAGCAACAGTGATAGGCCCCAATACGGCCCGAAAAATGGCATAATTCAGGATGAAATTGAGTGTGCATCCACTGGTCCATCTGCCTGGTCATTCATCCATCTCTCCATCCATCCCTCCCTCCATCCCTCCCCACATCCATCCATTCATCCCTCCCTCCCTCCCTCCATCCATCCCTTCATCCATCCCTCTATCCCTCCCTCCCTCCATCCATCCCTCCATCCATCTCTCCACCTATCCATCCACTCATCCCTCCCTCCATCCCTCCATCCCTCCCTCCATCTCTCCATCCATCTCTCCACCTATCCATCCCTCCATCCCTCCCTCCATCCCTCCCTCCATCCCTCCCTCCATCCCTCCATCCTCCTCCTCCATCTGCATTCCTGGCAGCCTACAGTAGCCCTCATCATTCAGATGGAAGCCAATGCTCATCCACCATCATATTCCTCCCAATTAAATATGGATGTTACAGCTCCAGACCGTGCTCCTGGCTGGATCCAGTTTAGCCACTGGTTTTCCCAGCCTGGATTTCCCTGCCTTTGGTCATCAGGAGCTCCCACCCTGAATCTCTTTGGAAGGACACTTGACACGATGCTCCTTGGGATATCAGGGTCCATCCATTGCTCTGTCTTATAATGAGAGCACAAAGAGGTATAATGGGAACAATATAATTTAAAACATTATCAGTAATCCATCAAAATAACGAAAATAATATCAATAAAACATAAATTGTTGAGCTGACTGTATAGATATTTTTGACTCTGTATAGACACTTTTTAATTAGTTCCTTTTAATAACACCTAACAAGTTTCCATATACAATATATCTTACTAACAGAAATATATCACGTACTCCATTAATAGTAATTAATAACCCGTTCTCCCACCCTGATGAGCCTGCAGTGGGATCCCCACCTCCTCCAGACAGGATGTGGCCCCTGAGGCTGCAGGAGAAAGTCCTTTGAAAGACAACGACCTTATTCTTTAATTGTCTCACTGCGTGTAACCAATTAATATTCTCATCTTGTCGGTGTTATCTTCATCCTGAATAACCTGCGCTGTTGTGCTGCAGTTTTCTCCTGAACGGCTGATCCAGAGCCTCTGACCTGAGGATGAGAAGGAGGAGGAGGAGGATGAGGAAGAGGAAGATGTCCTCTCTGCTCTTCAGTCTCCCAATCGACTTGGCCAACTGTCCTCAAGCAAGCTACATCATTTCTAACATAAAAACCTCAATTCCAGCTCAACTACAAGGTATTTCTTTAAAAAACATGCTCCATAGACCTGCCAAGCATCTGTAGCATCTGCCACGCTTCCCGTTGTCCATCAACGCTCCCGGTAAACCCTTTCCACCCCCTTTTCCTCCCAGATTACACCCACCCGGATGCTGCTTTTTCACTCAGGATGCAGGCACCCTCCAGGCATTTTTCTCTTAAGGAAATCCATGTTTTCACCCCCTTCATGGATATCTCTTGAACATCCATCACACTGGATGAAATGTTAACCCCCAAAAGTCACCTCAAACCCATTCCCAGGGACTCCTGAATGATGACATTGGATTTGAGAGGGCTTTGGCTCATCCTCCCTTGAAAAATACCTTGAAGGATGCTCAGAAACAGGTTGGTACCCAGAGCTACTGGGATGGCTTTGGTCCTTCCTCCTCCTCCCCGAAGCCCACCGGGAGCTAACGTCAGATGTTGGTAACGCCGAAAGACAATAGATCAGAGGAGGAAAGCAAGAAAAACACCACAAAAGAGAGGAAAAACTAAAAAAGAGAGGAAAAAAACAAAAAAGAGAGAGGAAAAAACCACCCCAGGGAGGGCAGGGTTGAGGCAGGAGCTGGGGTCCTCTGGTCTTTGGCTTTCCCAATGAACACCAGCAGGGACATGGGCTTCTGCCTGGCTTTTATTCTTTAATTAATTGAGGTTTTATTGTTTTCCTTTAAAAAAAGCATAATTTAATTTTGCTGGTGAATGGGGTTTTTTTGATGCAGGAAGGGAAGCGGGGCATTGTTGCCGATATCCTTGAGCAAAAGGAGGAATACAATGAGCTTTGATGCGCGGGAAGGATCGGCTCAGCACCCCTCGCTCGAGCGGGCTTTCTTTTCCCCCAGCTTTGGATGTTTTGTGGCGAGAGTATTTTTTTCCCCTTCAACATTTCAATTTGTCCTTTCAGTGAGCGCTTTTTTTCTGGCAGAATATTAAAATAAACTTCTGACGGAAAGGTCACGAGTCACCAAACTGGTTTCAATAACTTGGCTTTTCCAGCAAGCTGCGGGTTTTATGCTGCTTGTTTTGACAGATCAGTGAAAATTTCAGCCCTTAAATATGTGGAGAGGGGGGAAAAAAAGCCCAGTGAGAAGCCAGCAGATGGAAGATTCGAATTCCCACCATGTCCCAACCTCCTCCTCCACAGCACATCCATCTTTCCCAAGCAGCTTTTTTTGGGATGTATAGGAAATATCCCCAGTGCTGGGCTGTCCTTAGTGGATCTGAGCCTGGAAGTTGGTTTTGCAGGGCCAGAAAGAAAAGTAAAGTGGGGGAAAAAAGCAAAGGAGGTCACTACCAAACCACAGACGGGCAGAGGGTGAGGAGGTCCATCCTCTGGAGAAACAGGGCTGGGGCACACCAGTAACGGCAGAAAAGCTGTGGGGCCTCAACTGAGAGCTCTTCAACAGGTTTGAGGTGTGAGCCAAGGTTTCTTGAGAAATGAGCTGAGTTTTCTCCCCAAAATCACTTCCTTTGGTGGGTGAAAGCCCATCTCGGTCAGGCCAGGAGTTCTCTCAGTGCCAAGAGAGTGGAGTTTTGGCACTCACCACCACCACCATGGGTAGAACTCAGCAGATGTGAAGCTGTTGTCCTGGTATGTCCTGACCATCTCCATCGGCCACAGGTCTGGTCCAAGAGGTGACCTGAAGGACAGTGCAGCACTGCCATGCCTCCAGGTCCCAGTCAGGACGTGGGAGCACAGAGGAACCACTTGAAACCTTGAATAGAAAACATTTATTTTAGCAATCTGTTGCTCGTTCACAGGTGATGCCACAACTTCGGGCTTTTCTGAGTTGGATACATGAGGATCTGCCCCAGTTTTGTCAGGCACATGGTGGCTGTGATGGGAGGAGGTCCCCGGGGGTAGACAGGGTTTGGGGGTTAATGCAGGATGGAGCAGAGCTCGGGATGGAGCTGGTGCTCCACAATGGCCTGGTTTGAGCTAAACAGAACTAATTTTTTATTTTACTTTTCAGCTCAGTCTCTTCCAAGTGGCTGAACTTGCTGAAATCAACAGTATGGTTTTCCAGTATGTGCTGCTACAAGTGATAATTTCAAGGCCACTGTCTCACCATGGGGGCTGTGTCTGCACCTACGGGGAGGAGCAGACCCAAATCTGCCCAACGAGGGATTGCATCCCACACATGGCACACTCAGTGGAAAGCCCAGGGATCACCAGGGTCTGGACCCTTCCAGCTTGAACCCTTCCTTCCCTCTCCACCCCTGCCATGGCCCAAGGCCCAGCAGACCCTGCTGCTTCACCTGCCTCTGATCCTGAGCCCTGTGCTCCTGCATCAGCTCCCACTGCTGCTGGGTCCAGACTGAGACTTTTCCAGTGCTCCCAGAGCCTCTGGTGCCATCATCGTCATTGGGAGAGGATTTTATATTGGTTTTGTAGATATATTTGTATATATCTGTACATATTTCAATATTTTCCTATTTACATTATTATCCTGTAGTATCAATATTATTGTTTTATTAAATCTGTTCATTTTCTAAGTCTTTCTCCCTTCTTCTCTTTTCTCTTCCCTTCTGAGGAGGGCAGAGGGGTTCACAGAGAGCATCTGGCCAGGGTTTAGTGGCCAGCCTAGCCCTAATCCACAATGGTGCAAAGAGGAGTGGGCTCAACCCAACCAACTCCCTCAGAGCTGCCCATGATGGGCAGAGCAGGACCAGGCACCCACCACGCTCCACAGGTGCTGTTTTAGGATGGGAAAGGTGCACAAATGCCACCCTCAGCTCTTTCTGGGGGCTGCAAACCCATCCGGGGCATAACGCAGTCCATGTGTGAGCTTGGTGCTGGCCAGCGCATCACTTTGATTCCCTCGGACCTGCAAATAATTTCGGGCACAAAATCAGAGGCTGAGCCTCGACACAGAGGTTTTAGGTTTGGGTTGGGTTTGGTGTTGGTTTTTTTTGCGAGCTCCTTTTCTTTGTTACAGAGGACACACAAAAAAGAATAAACTCCATTTTATCCCGCGTGAAGAAAAAAAAAGGATAACGCTAATAAATCGCCAACATTAAAGGGAGCCAGGAATAGCTGCTGCCCCGGGAGGCTGGGGAAGCAGCTTGGGTTTCGCAGGTTTTTCTGGTTATTG